GGACGGACGGACGGACGGGCGGACAGACAGACACTTATGAGAAACTAGCTGGGCCCCCTTTCGGTGAAAGAAATGATCGGTGCATTAACATCAACTGAAAGTTATTGGTCTACATTTACACTCTACGGGAATGGAGCAAAAAGTCTTGAGAGAAAAGTGACACATAATGATATGTTTCCAAGCTGCCAAATATATAACAGATGTACAGATTGATTCTCTATTTCGCTTTCGTGGAACATGCAGTACACTCCATACTCCATAAATTCAAAGGTGTGGAAACAGTGCGCACGGCCAGTGAACGGAAACCTCACTTGTTTACAATGGCGTCTTAGAAGACGGACTTTCCCAAGATTAGATCAAAACGAAACTAATGAAAAAATGAAAATTAAACTACAGTGACTTCGGGTTCCTCAATGAAACTGTGCACCCTTTAAATGATTCTGAACCACCATTAATTTTGTCAAATTCGAAAGTTAAGTGGCTCGGAAGTTTTAAGCGGCCAAAGTGTGAACTTTCACAAATATAATATGTATAGATGCTTCATAAATCGGTACAAAAGAGCTAACAAGAACAACTTAACAACAACACCCGTTGCCCAAACATAAAAAAGAGAATCCATCAAGCATTGTCACCCCCTCCCCCTGAATACAAGTCAAACCGAAAAATGACTCGTCCATATTATAGCCCCCTGTACGAGTTATATTCTATTGTCTCCAACATTATCGGCTTCGGGTGGACGTTAAGTCCTGTCATTAAGACCAAGCCGGGACGACTACTACACAAATACCTATTCAAGGCGCATTGCCGGCCAAACGCCCAATCGCTTGGCACTGTGTAATCTCCAACCACCCGTGCACTCAGTGGTCAACACAAACACAAAGAGACAAAAGGGGGGGGGGTTACGAGCGGTGGCACCTCATGTAAGAGGCTAGATCTATGAGATCGCTTTCAGCGCTTCCGCTAGGGGCATACCTCAAAAGGTACCAGAGAACGCGTCAAGCCGGAAATTAGGAACGTACAACTCTCTGGCTGCAGCAATGTACATGTAACGCCATAGCCACTTCACGCGTAGCTTATTTGTCGCTTTCACTTGTTTGTCCGGGGTTTCTTGACGTATGCACGAAGTCAAGTGAACGCTTCTTCAATACAAATGTATTTTAATGTTTGAGACGAAAACTTACGCAAGACTTGGTGTGTACTTTCAATGTATTCTTGCCTTACTTCAATGCTTATGTGATCACATCGCCTTCGCTTGCAGTGGAGTGGCTAATATCCTAACTGCTTTCTGAGCGTGTGCTTTGTCTTCCTTCCACGAGTGACTGCTCCAAACATGCCCAGCAAAGTGCTTCCAGTAGATAGTGAGTATTTTCGTTTGCATGATACAGGTATGGGGGAGAACCCCGCTTAGCTTTTGTTGTTAGCATTGGTTGTATTCATTGGCAGTATGGATTACCCTTTATGATTTTGTCAGCTTCATTCCACAGCACCTGTGGTTTTTGTTGTTTGTTTGGTTGGTTTTGTTGTGTTTGTTTGTTTTGTTTTGTTGTTGTTGTTGTTGTTTTGTTTGGGGTTGTTTTTGTTGTGTTTTTTTTTTTT